GAAACAGCCCAACTCACAGTGTCGGAGCAGGTAACGTCACTTGCCTGTCTGGCAAACGTACTATCTGAGCATGCCTTAAAGCTCTGATCCAGCTGGCACTTAAGCATGGTCCCAACCTTAATGATTCAGGTTGTGTGAGATTAATCAAGCGTGTAAAAGGAGTGTATACTTAAGGGCCTGGCTCAGCTGAGGTCCACAACAGGGAGTACTTCAGGCCTGACTCTCCGCTGCTTTGTAGCTGGTAAGGATATCTGCAAAGGGCAACACCACATCACGCCACTTTGCAGTCCCAGTGCAGAGGCTGAAACAGCCAGATTTCTGGTGTTTCTGAGAGAATTGTTGCAGAATTTGAAGTGAAAACATATGTTGGTATGGGTGCACAAATAAATACCGAAATTACTGAATTAAAACTCGTTGGCAGAATCTTCTGCAGCCCAGGGGACAAGAGGCACCGCAGCCATAGTCTGCACGAGAAGAAACAATTCACAGGTCTGGAGAAAGGGCTTGGAAAGAGCAGAAACAAAAGGATATGGGTAGGGAAATAGTAAAATGAGAAACAATGAAAGAGACAGCAGTAAAACATGCATCTGTCATTTAAGCCTGGGTAAATACCCAGATTAGTGACATCAGTTTCTGCTGTTTATTTGGAGCTTACTTTGGAGCCATGTCTCCAAATGCAGCTGTGATACAGCCCAATGGAAACCACAACCAAGGATTTATCCCAGCTATGGTTGTTCTTGTACAACACAGGCATTAGGCAAAACTAAAGTTTGTATGGAAAAGTTGTCTTTTGAACCCTTGTGCTCATAAAAATAAAGCTGGCATGAGCTGGCAAAGCAAGTAAATTTGAAGTTTCACAGTTTCTCTTCACAAATTTTCACATCATTTTACAGTCACTCAGTGCTTAGATGGGCTTTGAAGGTCATGAAAACTAAACACACATGCTGTCTCTTGATCCATTTATAGGGCCTCGACATCAGGCTCCATCACCCCATGTACTGCAGTAAAGACGCTCACCAAGTCGGGTCTGTCGCAGGGGTTCAGTTCAGCTGGCCTACAGCTTCTCGCCAGTACAAGCCAAACTGCACCAAGAGGATGAAGACAAAATGATTTATCTGAGATGATGGGCTTGGACAAGAGCTCGTGAGGCTGCTGGTGTTGCTGCTGGAGGGGGTGCAAACAGACACCACAGCAGCTAAATGTGGGTTCCCCCAGCAGAAGCAGCTCACATCTCATGTACTCAGCAGCCACCAAGATGCGGGTGTCTGGCTGAGCAAGGCAAAGGCAGAGATGAGCCATTTCAGGAGAGTGCTAGGTTTGAGAAAGCTGTCTCTGCCTTCTCTGGCAGCTGTGCACTGTGCAGTTACACTACTCCTCCCCTTAGAAGTAACCATCCATTTTATCAACTTGCATTGTTTTTCACTGCTCCACAAAGGTTAGCTCTGGTTGGCTCGCTTTCTAAAAAAAAATGTTAACAAACACAGTCCATGCAGAAAAAATGACTTGTTTTTGTTGTTGCGTTTAACTAGGTCAGCCCATGAGAAATATCCAACCAGTCGCTCACCTGATCCCGCTGTGGTGGTCATGTTCCTTGCCTAACCCGTTAGGAACAAAGCTGTAAGGTGAGACGTTTTAACAAGGCCGTTGATGTTCTTGGAGATAAATGTGTTAAGTTACTGCTGGTTTTGCCACTTGCAAGCAGGGAAGGGAAGGCTGGTCCATAGCAGTTAAAGCGTTACTGAGCACCAGGGGCAGCTGGCATCTGCTGAGAAAGGCACATGGAAAACATGACGCCAAGCAAGCAGGGCTAATTAAGACCAGTTTCTTAAATTAGAAGGCTCTTAATGGCTAATGTTTAAAAATAACACCTTAATGACATCTAAAAATAGCTGCTGCTGAGCCCCAGAGTATTCTGACCTCCATTATATTGGGAGTCCATTTCCCGTGACTGGTGGTGTAAATCACATTTACCTTTTATATGCTGTTCTCTCTGGGATTAGCTGCAAAGCCTGATGCCTGACCTTGAAAGCCTATTTGCAAACATGCAAGAGTAACCTAGAGCACTCTTCTGAATGGTGTGCTATACACAGACATAATGTGCTGGCTAAGTAATTGGATAGAGTATAATCTCTGGTTGCACTCATCTGCAGACCTCCACAGGGAAAAATACTGAGGGAATGGGGGACTATCAGACCAGGCAGAAACCAGAGATGTGAAAGGTGGTGCAGGGATTAGTGCCTGGGACTGGGACACAGGAGACTTGAGCTCCATTTCCTGTTTGGTCACAGATTTCCTGTGCGACCTGGGTAGGTCCCTTGTCCTCCTGCTCTGCCCCAAAGCCATGTCTAGATCTCCCTGACCCTGGAGGGACTAGGATAAGTTTCCAAGGTGTGTGGCATGCTTAGATACAACAACAATATGCCTCACAGGAAATAAACAGTAATATAAAAAAGCAAAATACTGCTTAATGTATGAGCCAAATGCAAACAGTCTGGAAGGCAAATACATGTAAAGGACTTCTGGAGCTCTTACCCAAGCAAGCGGTGGGAACAGAAATAAAATATCTCCAGTACTGCTGGAGATAACCATTTGCTTACTTTTGCTGTGCTGCTTTGTGCTGTGCTTGGCCCTAACGTGTGTCCTATCATATCGCAATATGCTGTGATAGCTGGTACAAAGTGAGAAATCTGCAGCTTGACCTTCCCTGGCAGAATGCAGGCAGATCCCATGGCATGTACCTGGAACAATGATTTCTGATATAAAACACTCTGCATTTGTCTCACTATTTGCAAATTAGGCAGATTATTGCAACCACCACACAAACCTGGTTATTTTCATTTAAGCGTTATGTAAAGATTACCTGAATGGCCAGAAAGACCTAACAGTAGGAAAATGCCTTCCTAAAACTAGCCACACTAAAGGAAAGCTCATCTTTGCTTTTTATCTTCCCTTCCAGTCAGAGGGCTGGGTATTTCTCTGCAGATCCTGTCCAACATCGCATTCCTACGTCTGCACACAGCAGACACACTCCAAACAAAAGAAAAGGAACATGTGTAAGTACAAGGCTCTCAGCCTGCGTTGCTGTCCTGCCTAGCCACTATAATCCCTGTGCTTTTCAATTTTTTCCTTTCTTTCGGCACAATGTCCAAGGCAGATTCTGGGCTGTTTTGGGGCAAGACGCCCCATCCTGTTATTATGCAGAGATTGGTGCATGCCTCGATATGGTCTGGAGACAAACATCGGCACTTATGCACACCTCAAGCACTGCTGCCTCATTAGTGAGATAAGGGAAATGTAAACTAGCTTTCACTTTGCATTACTTTTTTGTTCTAATGGTCTTCGTTAGTTTGGCCAGATGGTTTTCCTCCCTTTGCCTGCTAAGGCCTGGTCCTGCAAACACTTATGCTTTCTTCTACGAACATGCGTTCAGCACATGCATGGGTCTTTGCAGAATTGGAGCCTAAATTTGTTTCTGTTTCTGAATCCCAAGTTGGATTTTGATGCAACGGTTATTTTCTATTTTAAAATATCAGGTTTCTGCCCACACACATAATGCGTGATGTATAACAGACCTTGCAAGGCAGCCATTGGAAAAGACCACTTAATCTGCAATTTATGCAGAAGGAAGAGTTACTATTCCTTGTTTTTCAGCTAGAATTTATATGCAACCAAACTGTGAAGGTGTTGCTCCTCAGAAGCTCCGTGATGTACATCTGGTTTCACATGCTGTCATTTCACCCACAACCTAAAACCATAAGCTGAAACTCCACAGAGGCTAATGAAAATTATTCCCTTTTGAGTTGCTTTATTAAAACGCAACCTCAAGAAATACTGGCAAGTCAGGAAAGCAACTTTAATCCAATACTTGTTATCCTCTTCCACAGGTTTTAAATCACTCTCTTTGCTCCTTACTTTGAGCAAATACACCCTTATTGTTTTCCTAGTCCTGCTCTGACCTTCTGGGAATGTTTTCATCGTGTAAAGCAACCTGCAGTTCCCTACTTTATAAATCTCATTCATTCAAAGTGTTAACACTAGCTAATTCTCTGCTTTAGAAAGGAAATCATGTTTGTTTTTCTGAAGAGTCTGCTGGGAAGAGGAATATTTGCATTTAAAATATTTTTTTCCATTTCATAAATTGTCTTGAGTTTTCTTCCCAGCGGGCAACAGAAGACTGTTTATATAAGTGAAGAGGGAAGCTTACTTTCCCATTACTTCCACAAAAGTACGATTAACAGCGATAACTATGCTAATTATTGCACTAACTGCACTTGGAATGCACCTTACTGGCTGGAGAGGTAATGCATTTGGGTAATAATTAACTTCTTTTTTCCTCAATTACCTTTTATTAGGAGAGCAGAAGGTGTCAAAGTAAAACAGCTGCATATCTTCCAAGAAAAGCTCGCGTTTTCCGAAGGAATTCAAGCGGAGGTGCTTAAGAAAACTAGGCAGGACAAACATTAACATGGCAAGCTCGGCTGTTCAGTTACTTGGCTTCTCTCTAAGCCTGCTCGGCCTAATTGGGACATTAATTGCTACCATTTTGCCACACTGGTGGCGAACGGCCCATGTAGGCACCAATATTATAACAGCTGTGGCCTATATGAAAGGGCTTTGGATGGAGTGCGTCTGGCACAGCACCGGCATCTACCAGTGCCAAGTCCACCGCTCCCAGCTGGCGCTGCCCCGTGACCTCCAAGCCGCCCGTGCCATGATGGTAATTTCCTGCGTCCTTTCCGCGCTGGCATGCGTGATTGCTGTCATCGGTATGAAGTGCACGCAGTGTGCCAAGGGGACTTCTGCCAAAGCCTCCATCGCGGTCTCTGGGGGGATCGTTTTCATCCTGGCTGGTCTTGCTTGCCTGGTACCTGTTTCTTGGACCACTAACGACGTCGTTACAGATTTCTACAACCCTCTGCTTCCCAGTGGGATGAAGTATGAGATAGGTCAAGCTCTTTACCTTGGCTTCATCTCTGCATCTTTGACGATCCTCGGTGGTGCTCTGCTGTGCACATCAAGCCAGTGTCGCGGGAACCAGACGCCTCACCACACGCAGCCCAGCAGCGTAAGAAGGACTGCTCCCTCCTATAGACCACCAACTGCCTACAAGGGAAACCATGCTTCTTCCCTGACATCTGCTTCCCATAGTGGCTACAGATTAAATGACTATGTGTGAGTTCCCTAAGATTTGCCTGCGGGACACAGCTGCTTTATAATTTCTGTGCATGGCATAAAACAAAGCTAAGATGACTTTTAATTCATAAGGGTTACGATACAAAGTTTACCATTGTTCACTTCTCCCTTTCCTTTCTTTCGGAAGAAAGAAAGAATGCAAACACAAAACTGCTTGCTGCAAAACCTGGAAAATAATTACAAAGGAGGCTGTGATATTCCAGAGACAGCACATACCTGCCTACTTTCAATTACAGTTTCGCAGGCAGGCAGCTCAAGGGCAGTTTTGCTAAAAATAATGCTTTGGTTTGTAGTTTCTGCCCCGTGACAAGCACTAAAGCAGAGCTGGCCACAACTTGTTGTTTGAACAGTGTTCCAACAAAAGACGCCGTTTTGCCTAAAACGGAGAACTTCATGGAGAGACCCAGTGATTTTCAGCAGTGATTGTGTGCTAAGTTTCTCATTTCCATAATGCATGAATGTTTCGTTATGACACGGTATTAGTTTTGCTTTGACTTAACTTTTTGTTTATTTTTTTTTATAGTCCCTTGAAATATGAATGTCAATAATATTATGACAGATATATTTGACAGCATGTTACAGCCAGTATTTTAAATTACACTATGTTTTGACCTTACAAAAATAAAATTTTAGAACATTTTTGAAACAAGATGATGCATCATAATGGAAACAAACCATCTCAGTGGATCAGGACTGGGTTTTTAGAAATGTCAGTAATAGAACAAAACTAGACATTTGATGTTAAACTTCTATTAAAAAAAATTAGAAAATTAAGAAAAAATTAAATATCAGAATTTGTCACAGAATGGGCATTTAGCTCTTTAGCTGACACACCATTCTGTACAATCTATACATTACATAGATCAGAAAAATGATTTCTAGAATCCCATCCCCAAACACCATGTAATGAAATGTACTCACTTCTTAAGCTCAGTCCTGGTGTTTTTTCCTGGGGTCCTGACTGAAGGTGCATTAGAGTTAGTAAGAACATTTCCATCTACTCCAGCAACATTTGGGGAACTTCCATTCAGCCAGGTTTCAGGGCATAAAGCAGTCTCTGTGCCAGCAGAGGCTACACTCATGGACCATAACCATTACCTGTCAGGAGGAGTATAAACCCAAGATATTTACTTCTAAAATCCTTGCAAAAATGCCATCATTCGACAGATGTTCACACAATTAAAAAATGAACTAATGAACAAAGAACCCTAGCCCTCTCCATTTAATGTTACGGTGAAGCCTAGTGCAACACACACTATGGTACAACACCATCACAAAAAATAAAAGCACTAGATTCCTGTTAACCCCAGAAAGCTACAGGTCTCTCCAGAGCAAGATATGGACCAACACACTGACATTTAATACAGTTAAAAAAAAGTACTTCTAAGAACTGTGAGGCAACTACTCTTCGTATACTTCATTTGGCAAAAAGCCTGTTTGCAATTGCATTATCACCTGATTGGTAGCACCTCCAGAGCTGGGAAGCTTTCAGAATTTCCCCCGGTTTCACTCTGCATCTTCTTTTCTGTGGCTGATCACCTGACAGAGTGTTTTTCAGTGCTGGTGCAAGTTATCATTGTCACTGTTTTTAAAAATCAAAACAGCGTTCCTAGGCAATTTGCTGAGGCCAATAACAAACAGGATCTGGGACCAGGCCTTGGTGATCAAGGAGTAACAATCGTTTGTAAACTCCTGTTGTATTAACTGTAGCTATCACATATGATGTGGGAAAAAAAACATACTGAAACTTCACTGACACTGTAAACATCCTAATAACAGACTATGAGGTGCAAGGAATGGACAGACACTGCTTTGACAATGACTTCTTAGACAAGATGGAGTCAAACTGTCCATAGTCCATTACAGATTTTCTGGGATGCCTTTTTAGGACAAAAGGTAGCCTAATGAAGGTGGTCAGTTACGTAGGTTTTTTTCTGTATTTACGTTTCAATAGATCTAGCCAAATGGTTATGTACCAGCTTTGAACAAGGGGTTTGGACAGCCATGAATACTGGACCACAAGTCCAAGTGCAGCAAATGGGCTTGTGTCTCATTAGGTAGTATGTTTGCTCTATACTGATAAATTAATTCACTTGCCAAGGCGTTTGTGCGGTGGGAATACTTATGTGTAGTGCTATTCTTGCTGCATGAATTCCCAGCCAAGCAGGATACGTGACAGTAGTAAGAACAGTTTATAAAGTCCTGGCAAAAATACCTGGAAGTGCTCTGATGTCAATAAAGAGAGGGAAATGGTTTCTTTCACACGGGGTTGTGAACCAGTGGATCTCATTCCATGCTAAAACTGACATAAACTTCTGCTTCTTTCTTTTTTTAAGCTGCCATTTGAAACAAAAAGCATATCCATTCTAGCAGCCTTAGAGGTCCGGCTGCAACTACTCCAGACCAACGTACGGGTTGATAGCCCAAGGTCCTCCCCTGCTCCCCTGCTGCCACGCAGAACAGTGGCCAGGCCTTGCTCTCTGCTTGCATGGAACAATCACTTGGTCATCAGTGGCATCAGTAAGTGACAGTGTCGAGGAAAGGGGCTGAGTGTCCTGAACCACCAAGGTGCTGTTTACGGGAATGTAAGGATTGGAGTAAGCGAGCATGGATTTCCCCTTTTGGCAGCAGGGAGACAGCTGGTCAGCAGGCGGGCACAGCTGCCCTGAAAACCAGCGCCTGAGACGCACCATGCTCTTCGCTGTCGGAAAACCAGGCAAAGCCACTGAGCAGACAGAAGCTCTCTGCATCATGAACTGTTTGGTATTTTTGCCCTGTTTTTTTTTCACAATGCCTCACTGCAGTGAGGTAAATGATAAACCATAACAAAAACGAACTCTTTTTTTTTCAAGAAATGTGGCTGAATCGACTAATAGGATGGGGAAATGAATAAATTCAGTAATTAGAAGTTTTGCTGATCTAAGACAAAAATTATCAGACTATTCCTACAATTAGCTGGTAATTAAGGTTTTTCACATCCTTGTATCAAGATTAATGGAAATTCTATTCCATCACACTTTTGCTGTTTATTTTTCCATATATGCCACAAGACGGTTTGTGTATGTTAGAAAGATAAGCAAGCATAAGGTGTTTCGTGAGGCCCAGGAGCAGCTTAAGAAGAGCTGAAAGCTTAGCCTTTTTTTTCCTCCCGATATGATCTACTAAAGGATATTATCTCTTCCTTGCATCCCTTGTGCTGCTGTGCAGCATAAGAAATATGTTATTTTTCACTTGTTTTCTTAAGAAACTATTCATATATCTTAGCCCACATGCTCTGATTATCCATATTCCTTTTCTTACCACTAAATGGGCACCTGGTCATGTTAATTCCGGGGTTAATTCACATCCTTTCCTGTTCTTCTGCTTATGACATCAGAAGACATGTTTGAACCTAGTAAGGCCTGATCCTGACCAAGCATAAATCAGAGGAAATCAGTTGAAGTCAAGTTACCCTTCTTTCTTCACACCAGATCTAGATGAGGTGTCCCCCTTCACTGAGAAACCTGCCAGTTTTTAAGTCAGTTCTCCAAACATCTGAATGTGCTTAAAATGGTCCACAGAGAAGAAAGACAAGATATACTGACCCCTCTCTTTTTTTTTTTTCCTTGAAGAAGGTTTCCTGGGGGAAAGGGTTGTTAATTTTATTTTCTGATTTAAGCATAAGGAAAACACATTCATTTCATTAGCTCACACTTGAAAGATCTTTGGTAAACAAACTATTAGAAAGTAGAGTGAATAAAAAAAGCGAATCAGTGTGCAGATCTGATCTGTTACAAGCATATGTATTTACTTCATATATATGTGTGGATATATAAAATGGTGAAATTCTGGCTCAATTGACTTTACTGAGGTCAGAATTTCACCCATAAGCTTATTATTATTGTCAATACTTCCAAGTCTATTATAGAGCTTTTAACTAAAAGGCCTCCAGAGCAAAGAGAATCAAAGTCACAGGAGTTTTGCCCTGTAAGAGAGACGGCAAGGAAAGACTTGCAATGGCCATTTCACAAAGTGTTTCATATTGAGCAGAGCGATTGTAACCAGTGGCATATATGACTGAGTCCTCCCTTCCACTCAAGTGAAGGACAATCAATTTTATTTTTAAAATGTCATAATCACTGGTATCGATCAATGCTCCCTAATGGGGATGCTCTCGAATCCATACTGGCTTGGATATTGCCATTTCCCTAGCAATTCAGGCTCAATTAGGCTGCCTTGCTAATGCATGTCAGCCTCATTTAATTGCTCTCAGGCTCGCGGTGTGAGAAAAGGGCAAGCTGACAGAGTAATCCCACACTTCCACTTTGCAGTGAGCTGCCTATTTGTTTTATTTGTTCACATTTTAATGGGCTAAGCACTTGTTATATGGAAAACACAGGAGAGCAAAAGTCAAGAAGTATTAATAAGCCTTGGAAAACAGAGTTAGAACTCAATTGCTTGTGCAAAGAATTGCTGATGTTTTCAGTACTTTGAAAAGTAGGTGGAATTTGTAGCTGATGAGGGTGCTGATAAGTAGCATTTATCTCATGGAAACCTCAGTAAAAACTGGGTGGAAGCAAAATGTCTTCTAACAGGCTACATCCTAGGGAAAATAACCTGTTTATTCACTGGTTGGCTGATGATAAGGTGGCAGAAGCAAACTCTAAAGGAAGCTGGTAATGAGCTGGGGATCATAGGGTTATGGTTTCTTCCACAACATTTAACATTAATATTAACAAATGTTAATAAATTAGGAGACAGGGGAAGAGAGTGATGGCAGCAAGCCAGCGGAAGGGAAATAGCCATGAAACACCTAAGATCTTCAGTCTGTGAAAGAAGTACGCGTGTATCTCACATTTCCCACAGTAGAGCCGTTGTGACCTGAGCCAAAGGCATCACCTGTGAGTACCAAAGTGCCTGGCTGCAGACAGAAACTCTTGGGCCTTTGCACCTAGACCTGAAACTAAATACTGGAGGAAGAAAAATGCAGATATGAGAGAAGTG